CTGGCCTTGAACTCACTACGTAGCCCAGGATAGCCTCGAACTCATTGCGATCCTCCTGCTTTAGCCTCCTAAGTGCTAGGATTACAGGTGTGCATCACTACACCAGGCCTCCTTTGATGCTTTAGTTTTACTCATAACACTTACCACCATCTGGAAAAACTATGTATTTTAGTTATTTTGCTGTATTGTCTGTCTCTTTCCTATTAAGTAGTCCCTGGTAAATAGTAATTGTTGAATGAATGATTTTTTTTTCTATACTATAGTCCATAGCCCCACTTCTTTTTTTAAAAGTATGAAGTCCTTTAAGTTATATATTTGTTACTTATTTTCCCAAACAGGCTTTGGTTCATAACTGAAAATAGAGACACTTGGAAATTTTTTTTTTCTTGAGACAGGGTCTCGCTATGCAGTTCAGGCTGCCCTTGAGTGCACTGTGTAGCCCAGGCTGGTCTCGAACTCGCAACGATCCTCCTGCCACAGCCTCCCGAGTGCTGGGATTACAGACGTGCACCACCATGCCCAGCAAGAAAAAAATTTTTTTGAGGTAGGGTTGCAGTTTGTAGTTTAGGTTGGCCTCAAACTCAGTATGTAGCCCAGGCTGGCCTTGAACTCCTGGTGATCTTCCTTCCTGAGCCTCTTAAATTGGGATTACAGGCATGCACTACTACATCTGGCCACCAGACTTGGAAATTGTGAAAGGATATAGAACCAGGTGTGGTGCTACACATGGGTAATCCCAACACTCAGGAGGCTAAGACAGGAGGATCATGAGTTTGAGACCAACCTAGACTACATAGTGAGATCCTAGGGGTGGAGGGAAGAAAGAAAGAGCAAGGGGGTAGGGGGAGAAAGAGAGGATCGAGGGAAGGATGAATGAGAATATGAATGAATGCAGGAGGGCATCATGGTTCATGCCTGTAATCGCCGCTACTCAGGAAGCTGAGGCAGGAGGATCACAAATTTTAGTCCAGCCTGCTCAGGCTGAGTGTAGCTCAGGGGCATAGCACTTGCCTAGCATGTGCAAGGCTGTAGTTTCATTCCCAGCAGTGCCTAACAATGACAGAGGGGGCATGGAGAACTGCATTAGGGATCTCAGGCACACTGATTTATGAACATGGACAGATGGGTCAGGACCCAGATTTTTTTATCAGTCAGTATACATACAGCTGCATGTATAAGGTGCTTAATAGTGTCATGGTTTGCATGCTACTTAACATCGTGGTTGGGTTGCTGAGGCTCTTGGAGTTTCCACCCCAGGGCTTATTAATAATGGAAGGAAAGCACTCCTGATTTAATGCAGTGGTGCCAACTCTCCTGACTGGTAACTGCTGGATTGTCTCCATCCATTCATGCCTAAGCCATTCTAGTGCCAAGCCCTTGACTCTACTAAAAGATAATTCCTCTCCTTAATAGCTTCCCTTTAATTGCTGTGTTTGGTAAATGATCTCTTGGAGATACCCTGATCTGCCTGTTTTAGTTGAGTTCAAAGAGCCTTCTGATCCTGAAATTGATTTTCTTTGACTCCAGTGCAGCTGGGTTTTTTTCCCCTGCTTACTTTTGAGGAGCTATGGAGAATAGCGGAGAGAATGAACACTGGCTAGGAAGCCTTTGGCTTTTCTCCTCCGCAGTTGCTTTTCTCAATAATTAGCTGTTTGACTTTGGACAAATTATTTAATTATACTGGTCTCGGTGTTCTCTAAAGAGTAAGAATGGTTCCTGCCTTCTCTGCTTCACTGAGTTAGTGTGGGGTTGAAAAATGAGGTGATGCAAGGTAGAGTGCAGGATATAAGGAAAAAGCACGCAGGTTCTTCTTCTTCTTTTGAGACAGGGTCTCACCATACAGTTCAGGCTGGCCTTAAGCTCACTATGTAGCCCAGGCTGCCTTGAACTCACAGCGATCCTCCTGCCTCAGCTTCCCAAGTACTGGGATTACAGATGTGCGCCACCATGCCCAGCCTTAATTTAATTTAATTTTTTGTGGTACTAGGGCTCTAACCCAGGGCAGAGACAGCTTGCACACTAAGCAAGCACTCTACCACTGAGCTACATCTCCAACCCTCCCTTAGTCTAACTGCGCCATTAATGTGTTTCTCACTTTAAATCTGATAATGCCTTCTCCCTGCCTGCTGCTTTCATTCTGTAGCCTTGTATTTGCTGTTCCTTTCACATGTCTCTTTCTTAGTAGGTAGATAATAGGATTCTTGCTTTTTCTTTTTTTGGCACCAGGAATCAAACTCAGGACCTTGCACTTGCCAGGCAGGCACTGTGATACTGAGCTATATCCCTGCCCCCCCCTTTTTTTTTTGAGACAGGGTCTCAGGGCCAGGGATTTAGCTCAGCAGCACAGCGCCTGCCAGAGACAGGGTCTCACTATGTAGTTCAGGCTGCCCTTGCCTTATGTGGCTCAGGCTGGTCTCAAACTCACAGGAATCCTCCTGCCTCAGCTTCCTGAGTTCTAGGACTATAGGCATGTGCCATCACAAGTAATAGGTTTCTGTATCTGTGGTTTTAGCTGAGGTTGTAATAGAAACCAGTCCAGGTCAGTATTGTGTTTCAGATATGCAAAACATGGTATTCATTTAAAAAAAAAAACAAAAAAATAAAAAAAACCGGGGATATAGCTCAGTGGCATAAGCCCCTGCCTAGCAAGCATGAGGTCCTGAGTTTGATTCCCGGTACCAAAAAAAAAAAGATTGCATTCTATTTATTTATTTATTTTATTTTTTTGACTGGGAATTGAACTTAGGACCTTGCACTTGCCAGGCAGGTGCTGTACCACTGAGCTGTATCCCCTACCCCTGTATTCCTTTTAGACTTACTCCTTTTACTTAGACTTACTCCATTTTACCTGTCAAGTGGAACAATATTTTTTCCTGTGCTGGTGAGTTTGGAGAGGAGTTGTTTTTAAGACAGTAGATTTTGCCTTTTGCCTCCTTGGACCTCTGGAAGCAACATAGGTCACTAGCAGCTCTACTGGAGCCACCTGAGGAAATTCCACCAGGGCTCTTGCTCTTGCTCATCTGCTCAAACAGATACCATCTGATCGAGAAATATGGTCTGATCTGGAAATACAGCCTGAGCATGTGCTGCCAGTGTTTCCGTCACTATGCGAAGGATATCATCTTCATCAAGTTGTACAAAGTGTTCCTCCTTCAGTGGATTATCCAGGGCATCCACTCAGTGAAAGAGACCATACTAACTCTGTGTACACAAAATAAAAATTTTAAAGCTTTCCAAAAAAAAAAGACAGTAGACTTTGTCTGGGATTTCCTGCCTTCTGGTGGAGACTGACCCCTAAGTTATCTGCTGCTTCTGGGTGGAACCATATGGGTATACAGCTTAACTCTAGGCTGAGGCATTTTAGGTGTCACACCTTCCAGGACACAGAAGCTAGTTGGTAACTGAATGCTCCAGGTCTGCCTCTCATAGAATGTAAGTGAGCACCCACTGCTCCCATACCAGATTCTGGGACTGAATTGCTATGGTGGAGACTTGGGGTTGTCAGAGGTCCACTTCGGTGTGTTGGAAGAGTGACTGCCCAGGGCATGAGGCACTTCTTCCAGCCTGTTTTTTTTACAGTCTTTAGGAAATGATGTGCGTTCCCCTCCAGACACAGGTGACCCTTCTTTGAATCTTGAAAGTTACATCTCGGGGCCTGGTGGTACATGCCTGTAATCCCAGCACTGGGGCGGCTGAGTTGGGAGGATTGTTGTGAGCCTGCACTACATAGGGAGGCCTTGTCCCGAAAAAAACCCCAAGCAAACAAAAAAAGAAAGTTGTATCTCCTAGCACTTGGGAGGCTGAAGCAGGAGGATTGTTGCAAGTTTGAGGCCAGCCAGGGCTACAAAATGAGCTCAAGGCCAGCCTGAATTGCATAGTAAAACCCTGTCTCAAAAAGACAAAAAAAAAAAAAGGTGCATCAAAACCAGTCCAGATTGTCACCACATTTTCTCTTTTGTGTTGTTGGCCCTGATTGCCTTTTAACTCTCTTTCAGAGCTCTGAACTCTTCACCCTGACCTATGGGGCTCTTGTCACCCAGCTCTGCAAAGACTATGAAAATGATGAAGATGTGAATAAACAGCTGGACAAAATGTGAGTGAGCACCTTTGCAGGAGTGAAGAGAGGGCTGGGGCTTCCTGGCACATCGAGTCTTCGTTGTAATTTATAGCCCTGAACAGTGTCCTCCTGTAACAGCACAGGTTCCACTGAGCTCATTTATTGGGATATTTTGAGGTTATTCCCATTTTTGCCTTACTAATAATAGTCTTACGTTCAAGCATAAGACACTTAAAGCTCACAATGTTCTGCTCTCTTTTCCTTCTCAGGGGCTATAACATAGGAGTCCGACTGATTGAAGATTTCTTGGCACGGTCAAATGTTGGCAGATGCCATGACTTTCGGGAAACTGCAGATGTCATCGCCAAGGTCATTATCCTGGGCCACCTGGCTGTGCTGAAGGATTGCCGCTGGGAAGCTTTGCTTACTATTTCGGTGTCTCCCTTAGGCTCCTAATCTCCCGAAAGACTAATTAGGCAGGTGTTTGGGTCCGAGAAGCTTTCCTGGTGGTTTGGGGGTAGCAGATTATAAAAAAGGAAAGCATGATTGGAATCATCCCTATGGATTAAAACCCCACTGAAATTAAAGACGGATCTCCTCCATTGTGAAGATACAGCAGAGTAACGTGAGGATTACAATACAATGGAGGCTGGGATGGTGATGCACACCTGTAATCCTAGCATTCAGGAGACTGAGACAGGAGGATTTCTGATTTTGAGGACAGTGTGAGCTATATAGCTTGCCCAAAAAACCCCCAAAAAATCAATACAAAACAAACCAAAAAAGAATGCAGGTGGAGCTGGGCACAAGTGATACATGCCTATAATCCCAGCACTGAGACTGAAGCAGGAGGATTGCAGGTTTGTGTCCTGCCTGGGAAATTTAAAGAAACTCGGTCTTAAATAAAAAATTTAAAAAGGGCTGGGGACTGGAGACTGAGGACTGGAGATGTAACTCAGTTGTAGAGTACCCCTGGCTTTGATCCCTACTACCACAAAAAGAAAAAAATATATAGATGGTAGTGAAACTCAGTAGTGTACTTACCTAGCACATTCAAGACCATGGCATCAATCCTTAGCACTGCAAAACAACAACAACGAAAGGTACAGATTAGAAACATACCTGGCACCAGATTTTGGTTTTGATACGTACCATACTGGATTCTTAGGTAACTCACTTGGACTTTTTCATTTTTATGTGTAGTAGTAGAGATTAAACCCAGGACCCTGATGCTGAGCTATACTCCTAGCCCTTTTTCCTTTTTATTTGGAGGTAGGGTCTTCCTGAGATGCCCAGGCTGGACTTGGACTTGAGATCCTCCTGTTTCAGCCTCCCACAATGCTAGGATTATAGGTACCACCATGCCTGACAGCTTTTAATTTCTTTAATTACTAAGTTACCTCATTTTTGGAGAAAATAATAGCTACTTCATGGGTTTTTTGTAGGGAGTAAGTGAACTATGAACATAAGCATTCAGGTAAAATGAATGCTGTTAGCATAGTACTGTGCATATCATAAATGTTTGCTGCTAATATTAGTGTTATATTATTATAGTATTAATAAATAATACCTATAGTTACCTCAGGGATGGTTCCTTCAGTTGTAAATGTGCTGGCTGTGCCACACCCTGAGGAAGGTTGACTGTGGAGCAAGCTGTGTGAGGGTTTAGAATGAAGAGGTGGACAGGGAAAGGTGCTTGAGAGCGAGTCTGGCCACGGGGCCTGTTCACTTCCTTGAAGCTGGGTTCAGACGGCACCAACGGGCCGGCGAGGTTCGGGCCTCTGCTCAGATGCTGGCTCAGGGCAGCGGAGCCTGTTGGGCGCTCGGTGTTCCACTCCACTGAGAGGCATGGGCAGAGGGGGAGTTGGTGCTTGATTGATGAGCCCCTGAAGGACAATGTGGAATTGTGCAGAGATACTGCCTCTTTCTTGCCTGAATATGTAGAACTTCTTCATCTTCCTGAGCCCCTGTGTCCCCCCGCCCCCTTGTACAGTTCCTGCTGTCCTTCCCTGCAGTGCTATTGTGTGTCCCCTGACAGGTGGCGTTCAAGATGTACTTGGGCATCACTCCAAGCATCACTAATTGGAGCCCAGCTGGCGACGAATTCTCCCTCATTTTGGAAAATAACCCCTTGGTGGACTTTGTGGAACTTCCTGATAACCACTCATCCCTTATTTATTCCAATCTCTTGTGTGGGGTATTGCGGGGAGCCTTGGAGATGGTGAGTGTAGCTCTTTCCTTCTGCGACACCTGAAATATAGTAGGGGCTTAATAAATGTCTAGTGTGATTTTTTTTTTTTTTTTTTTTTTTTTTTTTGGTCTTTGAGACAGGGTCTTGCTGTGCAGTTCCTGCTGGCTTTGAGCTCACTTTGTAGCCCAGGCTGGTCTCAAACTCACAGTGATCCTCCTGTCTCAGCCTCCTGAGTGCTGGGATTACAGGTGTGCGCCACTATACCTGGTGTAAATGTTTGAATGAGAGGGAGAAAAAGAGGGCTTCAGCTCATCCCTGCCCTTCATTCCCAGAGGTGGCCATGCTGCTGAAATAAGATGCAAGTTAGGCATCTCTGCATGGAGCTGATCATCCTACTAGGCTGGGAAATGGTACTGCCAGCCCCCATAGCCTTAGGGACATCCATTCCAAGACTGGCTTCCTTGGTGACAGTCTCATTCTTGAGTTTCTTCTTGTGGGTTGGGGCTACTGTCTTCTGCAGTGGAACATTGGAACTGGCAGTCCTGTCCTTGTGAGAAACCACCTTTTTTTCTGACTGCTGTATGTGTGTCAGTTACAGCTCTGTCCCCAGGGGTTCCTGAGTCTGTGGCCAGGCCTCTGCCTCTTCATTTTCCACTGTCCCCCAGGTCCAGATGGCAGTGGAGGCCAAGTTTGTCCAGGACACCTTGAAAGGAGACGGTGTAACAGAAATCCGGATGAGGTTCATCAGGAGGATTGAAGACAATCTCCCAGCTGGAGAAGAATGACCATCCCGGGTTGGACAGTAGCCAGCAAGACATTTGTTGGAGTCAGAAGGGCTCAGTGCCCTCTGCCTCTAGAATTCAGTGACTCTAACACAGATGTTATATATTCTAACTTTGTTTCCATTTTCCATGCTAATAAAGAGCAGACTGATACAGTCCAGTTTTCCCTACAAGTATGCCCATTCAAAAGGGGACTTCTTTGTCCCCTTTCCTTTAAAATGAGCTGGATGTAATTGTTGGTTAGACTAGAAAGAACTCAAAGCATTTTACATTCCTGTGAATTTTCCAAAGCAGACTTACTTTGACCCCATTAAGAGAAGCCTGAGCTGGGTGTGGTAGCTCATGCCTGTAATCCCAACACTGTGGGAGGCTGAGGCAGGAGGATCGCAAATTTGAGCCAAGTCTGGGCAGTTTAGCAACTTAGTGAAATCCTGTCTCAAAATAATAAAAAGGGCTGTGGATATAACTCAGTGTGAAGGCCCTGGTTTCAATCCCCCTATACTGGGGGTGGGGGGGAAGCGACATTTACTCCTGAGTCTTCATAAAGCTCTTGACAAATGGCTGTAGGGAATCTGGGGGCTTGGGTTGGAGGGCTGGGAGGGGGTGGGCAGGAATTACTAGCTGTACTGTGCTATTCTGTAGAGTTTGGCAGGATGTGGGAGCCAGTCATGCTGGAGACGCCAGTTTCTGGGAAGCCGCCCAGGTCTCATTCCTCCTTGCTGTTTGGAGGCAGCATCTCCTCTTTTTACAGAGAGTTCGTCCTTCTTTCTTACAGATTCTTCAATAAAGACACATTCTTGAGTGAAATCCCGATAATGTCTTCCTTTCCTTCTCGGCCATGAAAGGTGTGGCGCTAGAGTACTCCTGAGCACTTAGCGCCAGTCATTCGGTGCTGAAGGCTGCGTTTCCTCGCTGGCAAGCCGTCCATTTCCAGAGGGGAGGCCAGAGAGTTGCCCAAGGTCATAAAGCTGTTAAATGGAGATGCCATTCACAGTTGGGCCAAAGTCAGAAGTCCAAGCTCATGATAATGCTCGTTTGCAGCCTGGTTAGCACTTCAGGAGAGAATGGAAGCGGGCCTGCAACTTCTCCGTGCCTTACGGAGCTTGGGGTAGCATTTTATTTAAGTTTACTTTAGTTTTTGAGACAACGTCTTGGTGTGTAGCCCAGCCTGACTCTAACTTGCAGTCCTCCTTCCTCAGCCTCCTGAGTGCCTGGGTTACAGGCATGCGCTGTGCCCAGCTTGGGACAGCTTTGAAAGGGAGAAAGCCAAGGTTGTGCGAGGCCACGCTTGGTAGCACTGCTCCTCGGGACAGCCTAGGCCTTTAGACAGGTTGAGGGGAGCCAGCTAGTGGTGTATTGTACTTAAAGTGTGCAAGACCGGTGTTCTGAGACCTGGGGAGGGGGCAGTTTGCACCGGACTTGGCTCCAGCTGGGTTAGGCCACCAAGGAGGGATGGTCACTTTTGCGGGAGGCGTACTCGGAATTGAACTCAGGATCTCCCGCTTGTCAGGCAGGCAGTACACCGCTGAGCTACATCCCTGGCCCTGGATGGTCGCTTTTATGTTTCCAGATATAAGGAGGTGCATCTTCTAGAATCCCATCTTTTCTGAGCCTCTTTACCTCTCCTTCCGGATACAATCTGGGGCCCTGTGGGAATGCCCCCATTTTGATAACTGTAGCCTCAGCGGTCACCACAAGGCTGGGTCCCTGCTAGAGTTGAATGGAATGAATGAAGCAAGTTGAGGAAATGAGCATTGGGGCCCAGATGGGGAAAGGTTTGTGCAGTTCTGGACGCTGCCAAAACAGTCCACTGCACGGCCCTTTCCCTTCTTGTGGGCTTGGGGTGGGTTCACTGTTCTTTTCTCCCTATGCCGCAGCCTGCTTTCTAGCAGCCATTTGTATGGCGTGAGGTTTTGGGTATTTCCTTTCCCAAGTTAAACTTGGCAACGTTACATGTTGGTGAGCTGTGGAAACAAGGCCCCATTATGACTTCCCACTCAGCCCCACAATTGTGTGACGTACACCTGAGGGCAGAGGGAAGGAAAAGTGTTGGGGACTGTGGAGCTGATGGGAACGTCACCATGTTATCTTTCCGAATGCACCAAGTATACAACCCCAGCAACCTCTTCCTGCCCCCGCGCTCACCCTGTAGTTGGTGATTTGTGGGTTATCCCTTGATTTCACCAAGACAGGCTGATGTATCCATTCCCCATTCTCCCTGGTGTACCTGCAACCCCCTGTTCCAGGTTGTATCTAGGTGTCCCCTCAAAGCCTCACGCAGTCATAGGGGGCTCTTCAGAGGTGTCTGGATCTTGGGAGGGATGCTGGGATTAAGGGTGCCCCACCCTAGGTGCGAGTGCAATATGAGGGACAGAAGGAGGGCTGCTGCTGTCACTTGCTACTTCACTTGCTGCTGGTGCTTTGCTGCTTTGCTGCTTCTCCCTGCCTCTGCAGTGCCCCTCTGCCATGCTGTCTTGCCTTGGAGCCAGCTGATTATGGACTGAAACCTCTATAAACTGTTCCTCCTTTAATTTTGGGTGTCAAGTATTTTGTCTTAGAAAAGTAACTAAGACACCCTCTCCCCAAAAAGATAGGTCAGGATTATGGAGCTAATGTGTGAGAAGCAAACTAATGGGGCTGGTTTTCCAGGAAGCAGAGCTGTGGGGCTGGAGAAGTCGGTACCAGTGGCCTTGGAGCCTGAGTCCAGCGGGGCAGAGCTCTGGGAAAGGCCGCACTCTACAGCCTTTGGCCACTAGGGGTCTCCACATCGTCGCCCTACTGTCCCAGAAAGTGACCATTGAATTCAGGGCTTTTAGAATTTGCTAGAAGACGCACCTGAAGTAAACCTCTTAAGCTAGCCAGAGCAAGGACATGTCCACCGCCTCCAGTCACCTGCACGAGACCTGAAAGCAAAACTTGTGTAGCTAAGCCCCCGCCTGATGAACTTGAGCACTGCAAGAGGATATCTGACCTATACCCTCAGAAAACTCTCATGCTAGCCTCCTGCATTGTTCAAGCTAGAGCTCCAAGCTCTCCCTCATCAACTCTTAACTTCCTGAGTGGAGTCCAGAGTACCCACTCACCTCCCTGATGTAACAGTCCCCTGTCTGCCCCAGACCCTCAACACTAGGGACGTTTCCACAGGCAAGTTTCTTCTCCTCCTGGGAGGCTGGCCTCCCCTACGTTTGTACTGGGCATCCAGGCCCAATAAGCGGGTGGCAAAGAGGCCCCAGGAGATGAAATCACATTAAATGAAATTAAAATAGTCTCCTAACAAGTAGTTCATTGTGGCTGGTGGGAGGTGGGGTGCAGGAAAAGCATCCTCCCGTCCTCCCGGAGCTTAAGTGCTACCATGTGCTGTTCCCTGGAAGCCAGCAGGCTGTTGGGAGGGGAGGTTTGGAGGGAAGGGTGGTGGCAGGAGAGGAGACGTGCTGTTATGATACTGAACCTTTGATGTAGGGCCAGGTCTGACCCCAGGACCGCCGCTGGCCACTGCTAGAGGAGCAATGGGAAGCGGCACATTCCTGGGGGCAATTTTCACTCTGGCAGGAAGAGAAGGAAAGTTTCTACTGGGGGAAGGGGTGGAGGAAGGGTGCAGCACTGGAGGGAGCCGAGGCTGGCGCAGCACCCTCTTGCTTCAAGCTGGTTCCCTCACCCTTCTTGGCTGGAGGCCTCCTCTGGGAGGCCTTCCCTGAACCCAGAACTGGTGAGGACCAGCACTCCTGTCCCAGCACTCAGGTGGACTGGCTTAGGTGTAGCCTAGGGCAGGCAGGGAAGCAGCTGCTCTTTCCTGCTGGCTCTGGGACCCTGCACTGTCGGCCGCGAGGGCGGCGCCACTGAGCCAGGCTAGAGGTGGGGTGGGAGGATGGTGTGCACAGGCATGTGTTCGTGGCCACAAGTATTCAGTGCAGAGTGGCTGGGTGCCAGGGCTGGGGTAAACACTTCACATGTATTTCTCACTGAAAATAAATCACAGCCTTATCACACATTTTGCAAATGAGGAAAGTGAGGTGCACAGCTAGTACATGGTAGATTCAGGATTTAAACCCAAATAGCAAATAGTCAGGACTTACATATCTAGATCTTATCCAGGGCATCACTATATATATGTGTGTGTGTGTGTGTGTATTTCAGTGTGTCTCATTTCCTTGTATTCCTGGGGGAGTGTATGTGTTTGTGTGAATTGTTTCATTTAACCAAAATCTAGGCTTGTGCTAGGGGCTGGGACGTGGTGAGGACCCAGACCCAGACCTTCCTGCTGGAAGCTTCTGCCTGTGGAGAAGCAGCTGAATGTAAGATAGGGTGAAGAGCAGAAGAGGGGGCTGAGAATGACAGACAAGGCAGGTCCTGGCTGTGCTTCTCACTAGCTGTGACACAAGCCATTGGAATGCTGAGCCTGGGTTTTGTCTGGAAAATGGGTCTAATAGGGTGTACTTTGTTAGCTGCTTTGAGGATGAAACAGAATGATACATATTGTATATATTTTTTTAGGGGCTGGGGATTTAGCTCAGTGGCACAGCACCTGCCTGGCAAGTGCAAGGTCGTGAGTTGAGTCCTGGTACTGGAAGAAAAACAAAAACAAAACAAAACAATATATATATATATTTTTTTTCTGGCACATACTAAATATTTCCTAATTGGCAATTATGATTAACATGACTATTACTAGGGAAACTATCTTGCAAAATCTCTATATGAAGCAAGGTATGGTGGCGTATGCCTGTAATCCCAGCACTTGGGAGGCTGAAGTAGGAGGATCACCACAAGTTTGAGGCCAGCCTAGACTACATAGTGAGTTTAAGGCCGGCCTAAACTACATAGCAAGACCCTGTCTCAAAAAAATTTAATACATATATATATCCCTCTATATGAGCTGGGTTTGGTGACACATAATTGTAATCCTAGCACTGGGAAGGCTGAGTTAGGAGGATCACTGTAAGTTCAAGGCCTGCCTGGGCTACATGGCAAGACCTTGTCTCTAAAAACTAAATAAACAAAAATGCTCCAAAACCTACTATGTGGATATGTGAGTATCTGAGTGTGTGATTGTTAATTTTGTGAAATCAGGGGATGTCTGTGTTGTTCTGTAGCAGAAAACGCCCCCCACCCAGCCAGACTGCTAGTTGCCCAGGTAACAGTTCCTGTTACAAGTTCCTGTTACTTCTGTCTCCTA